AGTCATAAAATTAATGACTCGAGTCTGACTCGAGTCCAAGTCATGTGACTCGAGTCCACACCTCTGCAGATCATCATTACAGGCATTCAGCTTTCTTCTTCTACTCCTTCTTCTCTGTGTGCCATGTCCTGTTTGAATCATCCATCTGTCGTCAGGAGCAGCCGCTCCATTACAAGCACCACAGCAGAACAACAACACTGGATCAGATTAAATTGTTATGACCGAGGTTAAATTCATAGAACAATAATTATTATAATATTTTAGATCAAAACCAAATTGACAAGTTAAAAAAGGCGAGTGAGAACAAAAAGCGTTACTATGGACCCGTGATCATGCTGTTTGACATCACTGATCAATCACACAGATCAAACTGATTGTTACGGCCCGTCTAGACCATAATATACGGGTGATCCATCCCTGTGTGATCGTAAGCAGCACATCGCATAATTAGTACAAGTTGATGGCGATTCATTTACAATGAGTGGGTTCAATACAAAGGAGCGACTTTAGCTTCGGGGTGGAACTAACGGCAATACAACAAAAGGGGCTCAAGGTGGGATGGCAAGCTGCACAGGGCCACACCTCAGCGTTACTTACGTCACTTTAGTTTGCTTTGCTGTCACTACTTTAAATATATTCTACTCATTGTCCAATATATATCCTTTATTATTTGTTTTTATTACACCCTCCAATGTTTATATGGCGTGCACACGTATGAACACTGCAAGGCCAAAGTTCTGTTTTCTATTAATACATCTTCCTGTGTGTGAGTCAGCTGGGCTTTGGTTCCTCTGCAGGCAAAAGGTGTGGCAGAGGGCTGGGAGAGCTGAAGTACCACTGACAGCCGTCATGCCTCATTGCCTGGAGGGTGTTTCAAGTTTGTTTAATTGTTTTGTATTAGTTGGTTACATGGCAGCCATTTTGTTTTCCTCTGTGTGTGTCATGTGTTTTAGCTAAACCAGTATTTAAGTTCCCCCGTGTGTTATTTCAGGAGGTCAGTTTGTCTTATGTTTGCTTGAGCTTTTGTTAATTGTTATCTTGAGCTTAGTCTATTGAGTTGACCTGTTTTACTGGTCTGCCTCTTTAAGTTTTGGCTTTGTTAAATATCTTTTTATACTTTTGGGTCAATAAAACCCAATTTTTTAAATTAAACACCTGTGTCCTTTATGCTTTACTGCTGGGTCCCTGAGACAATGATACAAACAACATACTCAAAGAAATGAAACCAAATGACAGCAGCGTACCTCCAAAACTAACAAAAACAGGAGAAAACAGCGATCAAATACAAAGGCAGCCACCCCGACATGCTGCTGTGTAAATATGTTGTCTCCATGTAGTTAGCCAATCTGCAGGTACCGTCTCCGGGTGCATATGAGAGACAACATTACGACAGCAGTCGTAACGCTGATTGATCAGCCATCAGAGGAGTCGGATCAATGGAGCTGCTTCTGGTCCTGATGTCCTCTGTTTGATCCTGGACCTGCAGAGGAGACACAAGACAGTCAGACACAATCGCACAAGCCAACAAACAAACAGACAAACCAACCTTTGACTTTGAGCTTCACGGTTTTCTTTCTGATGAAGGTTCCCTTCCTCCAGACCAAACACTTGTACTCTCCACTGTCTCTCTCTGTGGGCTGTTTCAGGGTCACACTGAGGTCTCCAGTTTCCAGCAGGTCTTTGTTCATCACAGTTCGGTCTCTGTAAACCTCGTGCTGTTCTTCATATTGGTTTGGGCCATTTGTAAACACGTGAGCCTTC